AATAGGCTGTGCACTGCAAGTGCAATAAAAATGCAGTGGCTCTAGACCTGAAGGGGTATGCAAGGAAAATAAAAAAACAGCATTTTTGCTTGCACATGATTAGACAAAAGAAATCAGCAGAGCTTTGCCTCATTTCAGAGCTTCTTCTTGTACCTAAAGCAACTGCACTTGCAGTGCACAGTATATTTATTTTAGTAAATCAACCTCATTATCAGTAACTGCACAGAACTAAATGAAACAGAGACCCCTGGCACAATAAGCAGGTGTTGTAAGACTCAGATGTATAATTTTTCTACCTAAATAAATATGGCAGATGTAAAAATAAAACTGCAGGAATTCTGAAAATTAGCTAATGTTATGCTTCCCATTAGACATGCACAATGGTCAAAAATAAAATTTAAACCTTATTGAAAAGCATAGGCTTATTGGTGTTATCATATAACCACTGAGTAGTAGCTAATTTAGAACTAACCACCTATTAACCAGCCAACATTGTATGATGACAGTACCTAGCCACAGTTATTAAATCATAGTTGAACAAGCAGTCTGCCATTATATATGTATTATAGTATCCCACAATCATTTGCAAGGATTAGTGGCTCCAATTTAGCTTTTCCAAGAAGGTCTTCTGAAGTTATAGGCACCACGTGGATCATTAAGGTAAATATACTTTCATAGAATGCATACGTATTCTGAACCTCCCCCCCTCCTCAATTAATTCATTATATCACCCTAACCCTCTCCCAGCTGTATACTGCATGTCTCAGTTTCCTGCAGTCAATGCTTGCCATGAGTCTGGCGTCCAACCACACAAGATCTTCCTCCTGCAATCTCTGACTGCATGTTCAATTCTCTTAGACTTCTATGGGGTCATCTCCCAAAGCAGGATATTCTTAGCACATCAGGCCCCTAAGGCAATGGTAAGATTATCTGGGCTGGTAGTACGAAACAATGTGTTAAAACTCAGTAAACATATAATTGGGACAGAGAAGAGTGGAAAATTAAAGTGAGATTGGGTAGCAAAAATGGTAAAAAAAGGGTAAGTATACTTCTGAACCCTTTAATCATCATGTAATCATGAGTGAATGATTGCTATGTAATGCTCTGAATATTTTAAAATGTCTGAATACCCAAAATAGAAATAACAACAACCAACTGGTGAAGTCACTGACCCACGCTACAGAAAGATATTTATTAAGTATGTTATTGGTAAAGTATCCTTGATGAAGTTTCCAGGCATGCCCCCAGCTGCAGATTTATTAAACTCAAATTAAGAAGTCTTGGTCCTTGATCTCTGGTTTTCATAAATGAGTAACAAAAAATAAAATTGCACAAATGATCAGAGATGGAAACTCATATACAGAAATAACACTCAGAGTAGCTCTAAAAAGATATTAGAATACAGTTAGTAATCCAGCCTCTTTTAGCTATCCCTTTAAAAAACAATTTGAGGTAATATAGACCCAGTACATATATACAGGTAGTTTAATACTTTTTGTTTTATCTTATTCTAATTTCAGAATGCTTGACCAGAGAATGAAGTGGACACTTCAGACACATCTGTCCATTTGGATGAAATATTTCTTGACATCTAACAGCCAATGCAAAAATAAGACTTGGAATATTATGAAAGATCTTGCTCCCGTTGGATTCATTGAAAGGAGATGGTACCTTCTATTGCTGCTCACAATTATAGATCTGAAACTAAATGTTTCCATTTAGCACAGCTGGAAACAGTCACCTTCAGATAATGAGCACTTTCAGCAGCACAGGAATGTTGATTGGTCTCACAACAGTCTCAGTTACCTTGGACATCAGCATACACAATGGACTGATGGCCTGGCACATTAACAACAATGTGACTTTAAACCAGAGCCTGCCTACATCAGATCCAGCCAATGTATCTGAAAAGGATGAGATATTCCGTCCATCGCTTGACAAAAACTGGTCTGCTCTTTTGACTTTGATTATCATTATTTTAACAATAGGAGGAAACATTCTGGTCATTATGGCTGTGTCACTGGAGAAAAAACTTCAAAACGCAACCAATTTCTTCCTTATGTCACTGGCAGTTGCCGATATGCTTGTGGGAATTTTAGTTATGCCAGTTTCTCTCATCACAATTCTGTACGGTAAGTTTTTTCTTTGAAATCTAATGTTACTTTGCTTTTTTTAAATGTTTTTATTATTGAATTTGATTTCCTATTAAATGCCAATGAAAACAACAACTCTAATTTCTGAGCTCTTGGACCTTAAAGTGGAATTTAGTCAAATTTATTTTGGATCTGGATTTGGATGATCTCTAGCCTTTCCCCGTTCTACTGAAAAAAAGGTTTTCATTGGTATTGGTGACCAGCTGTCACCAGTATAAGAAGATAAGGGGCTGCATATACCTGTATCAGTCAAAACCCTTCTTCAATCTGTCCAAGATGAAAAACAAAAAGAAGGTTTTTTTTCTGTAGATCCACTACAGCAGAATTAAAGTGAGATAGTATAATTACATCAGAAAGATATATCCTGCATACAGTGATTAGAAGAAATCATTGGCCAGATAAGTTGCATTGTACAAGCTTTTTAAGCTGAACCTTGGACAGATATAAAAAAAAAAAGAAAAAAAAACAGCAGACAATTATATTATATATATATTGCTAATTATTATATATTCGCCAATGACCTTGTGTCAATATCTATTGAAATCAGTTTCCTTGTGCATTTGATAACTTGTACCTCAGTACCTTGTAATTTTATACTTATGATTGCTACTAGATCTGTATTTTCCAGGCAGAAAATGATGACCTGAGTCTTCAGTGTATAATCCATAGTTCAGTTGTGATTAGCATAGGTGTTTATTTATTGGAATATATGTTTGGAAGAGACTGTATGTACCCCCTTTGGATCTATATGCAATTCAGAAGATCTAAAAGTTTTTTTGATTGGGACCCCCAAAATGCCTTTTTCTGCAATACACAGCCAGCACATGTAGTGGGAGGTGCCAGGCCTGAAACTATATAGAGTGGGAAAAGGCTTGAGTCTTATTAAAGACACAGGTTTCAAATCCAGTGAAAGAACAAGCTGTTTCTGAGCACAGTCACTGGATAATCTGCCAATGTGGGTACATTTAGCACTATAGTAAGTGCAACAACAATAATAAAACTTTAATTTGCCACCCAGGGAGTACCCAGAAGATTTAACATAGTAATAGGGGGGCACTTACAGTTAATGTATCAGTTTTTGTTGCTTTCAACATCCTCACAGACAAGATTCACTCTCTCTATTTGTCCTGTTGATTGTCATCGTTGTTGTGTTTCTAGGACAAGGATTGAATGAGAATCTCCCCAACAGGAAAAAAATTAAACTGTTAAAGGTTTTAAAGTGATACTAAGAGTTTTTTCTCTTTAAAACAACAAACATGTTATAATTACTTGCTCTGTGCAATCGTTTTTCACAGACCAGCTCTGATCCTCCTCTTCTTGGGTGTCCTGCTGGTGCCCCTAGCTTCCTATGAGGGCACCTATGCATGCTCACTTCCGAGCTGGCCCCATGTGTACATAAGAAACACAGAGCATGATTTGGCCCCGCTCCCTCCTTACTAGCTGTGATTGACAACAGCAAAATCCAGTGGCTCCCTCTGCTGTATCTAAGCCAATGAGGAGTAAGAGAGAGGAGAGATCACATTGCTGGATTGTGATCAGGCTCAAGTAAGAATAATGGGAGCTGGGGGGAATATAGCTTTAGATATACTTTAAAATGGTTGTAAACGCAGAAGGTTTTTTACCTTCATGGATAGAATACACAAAAGGTAAAATACCTTCTGTGTTTACAACCATTTTAAAGTATATCTAAAGCTATATATTTCTTTCTGGAAATAGCTTTATCATGCTTTTTGCCTACCTGTATCCCATTGGGGAGATATAATTTTTTTCTTGTCCTTTAGACAGAAAGTAAGAGTATTATTATTATTGTTATTATTATTATACAAGATTTATATAGCACCAACAGTTTGTGCAGCGCTTTAAAAAAACTCAAGGTAGGCATAACAGTTGCAAATCAATTTGGTACAGGAAGAAACAGAGGGCCCTGCTCGTTAGAGCTTACAATCTAGGAGGAAGGGATAAGTGATACAAAAGGTAAAAGCTGTGGGGGATGAGCTCATGGAGGAAATAAAAGTCAGTTTACTAGTTAGAAGCAGATTAGGCTTCTTTAAAGAGAACGGTTTTCAGGGATCGTCTAAAGGTGGATAGATTAGGAGATAGTCAGACAGATTGGGATAGGGAGTTCCATAGGATGGGAAAAGCTCGGGAGAAGTCCTGGAGGCGAGCATGGTAAGAGGTGACAAAGAACTAGAGAGCAGAAGGTCTTGGGAGGATCGAAGAGAGCAGTTTGGTAGATATTTTGAGACCAGGTTGGTGATGTAGCTGGGGCAGAGTAGTGGATGGCTTTGTAAGATGTTGTTAGTATTTAGAATTTTATTCGTTGGGCGAGTGGAAGCCAGTGGAGGGATTGGCAGAGAGGGGTAGCAGACACTGAATGATTTGTAAGGGGGATGAGCCTAGCAGCAGTATTCATGATGGACTGGAGAGGGGATAGCCTATGTAAAGATAAGCCAATTAGGAGAGCGTTGCAGTAGTCGAGGCAAGAGATAACTAGGGAATGAATTTGGAGCTTTGTGGTATCATTGATTAAAAAGGAGCATATTTTGGAGATGTTGCAGAGGTTCAGGAGACATGATTTGGACAGGGATTGGATGTGGGCCTGAAAGGATAGTCCAGAATCCAGGGTTACCCCTAGAACTCTGGCATGCGGGGATGGGTTGATAGTGGTGCTAGTGATCCTGAGTGAGAAATTAGGGGAAGAGGCACGTGGGGGAGGAAATATTATGAGCTCCGTTTTGGATAGATTGAGTTTTAGGAAGTGGTGTGACATCCAGTCTGATATGTCTGTTAGTAAGTTTGTGATACATGAGGAAACTGATGGGGTGAGTGCAGGGGCGGACTGATAACTCATGGGGCCCCTGGGCAATAGGGGATCATGGGGCCCCTGTGTCCTTGGCCAAACTCAAAAAAGCCTATGAAAAAGGTACCAGGGGCATCTCATGGGGCCCCCTACTGACCCTGGGCCCTCGGGCAGTGCCCGAGTTTCCAAATAGTCAGTCCGCCCCTGGGTGAGTGGAGGAGTAGAGAGATACTGTAGATTTGTGTGTCATCAGCATAGAAGTGGTATTGGAAACCATGGGAAGCTGATCCAAGGAAGAGGTGTAGATCAAGAATAGGAGAAGTCCAAGGACAGAACCTTTGGGGACCGGAACAGTAAGAGGAGTAGGAGAGGAGGAGGTAGAGTTGTAAGTGACACTGAAGGTGTGGTGAGATAGGTAAGATTCAAACCAATGGAGAATACAGTCACAGAGACCAAGTAAATAGAGTTTTTTGAGGAGGAGGGGGTGGTCAACTGTGTCAAAGGCAGCGGAGAGGTCCAAGAGTAAGAGTATGGAATAGTGATCATTAGTTTTGGCGGTTAGCAAGTTGTTTTGTGAGTTTTAAGAGAGCAGTTTCTGTGGAGTGTTGTGGGCAAAATCCAGATTGAAGGCGATCAAGATGGTTATTCTGAATAAGGTGGCAGCTCCAGTTGTAGACTAGACGTTCAAGGAGTTTGGAGGCAAAAGAGAGTAAGGAGATGGGTCTTAGGTTGCTAAGATTGGTGGGGTCCAGTGAGGCCTTTTTAAGTATGCGGGTGACTAGCGCATGTTTTAGAGAGTTGGGGAAGATGCCAGTAGAAAGGGAGAGATTGAAGATATGAGTTAAAGAGTGAAGGCTACAGCCAGAGGGTGACCGTAGTATTTGCAAGGGAACAGGGTTCAGGGGACAAGTTGTTAGATGGGCTATAGAAAAAAAGTTTACCAACCTCCTCTATAGTAAACTCCCCAAAGTGAGAAAATACCCATTTCAGTCAGTTGTTACTGCAATTGTTCTCATGGAAGGATTTCCCCTTTAGTCCTGCACTGGCAAAAACTCTAAATTCTGGGCTTTCCCTTTCTTTCTTGCCCAATAACAATCATCACCAGCACAAATAAAGAGAGCACCCATACAGCAATAACAACCTGAGGGGACGCTAAACCCTTACCACTATCTAAGAAGCTAAAAAAAAAAATATTGTTTGAATATACAAATATCATTCTCCGCCCTATCCAAAAACAACGGCTGCAGAAACACCTATGCCCAGACTATGGACAGGACCAAGCTTTTTCTGGCACTTTTCGTTCACATGTAACAATCTGCTTTTTTTTCTTTGCTAGAAATTTAATTGGAGCCCCCAAACTTTATATATTTTTTAAAGTAGAGGCCTTTACATTCCATGTGACAGCTTTCTATGAAGGCACTCGTGCAGTGTGGCTCCTGAGCCAACCTGTCTGCATCTATAGACACAGATGTTGTGGCACTGTCCTGCCCCCTGCTCCCTCGTCACAGAATTTGATTGACAGCAGCGGGAGCCAATGACTCCCACTGCTATCAATCTGCCAAAAGAGGAGGGAGAGAGCCAAGAGAGCCGCTGCTCTTGTCCACATCACTGGATTGAAATCAGGCTCAGGTAGGTATAAGGGGTGCCTGGAGGGATGCTACAGAAGGTTTTTCACCTTAATGTATAGAACCTTAAAGAATATTTAAACCCAACATTTCATATTCCTAATATGTGCCTGCTGTACAATTGTTTGGAAACCTTTGCTGTTCTCTTTGTATTGCTTCCTTTGTGTTAAATCCCTGGTCGTCCTGCCAGTCTCTCTGCTCCATATTAAAAACTGACTACACTAGGCAGAAGGGCATACCATAGTTAGTTCTCTAGCTGTGCTGGGATCTCAGTCTGCTCTCTTTCGATGATCAGTCTTGTCCTGACACACCCTCACTGCATGGCCTTTCAATGGGAAGATCAGTGTACTGCTGTTTCTACTCCCATAGCAGCTGAAAACAGAGAGTAGGTAATCACTTATAAAAAGAGGCGGGAAAAGGTGTATATATAATGTTTTTATATGTATACACAAATGTTTTTGTCTTTCATTTCTATTTTAAACTGAATGGGTTGTTTTACAAGGTGAGGGTTTACAATTGCTTTAAGGCTTTAGAGCCACTTTAAAAAACAGACAGCAGGTGACCTATGCTGAACAACTGAAACTGGACTTCAGAGTCTCTGTTGTGATATTTGAAGATAAATTAGATAACTTTATGACTTGTATATGTACAGTATATGCATTGACAGAAGTTAGTGAGGGCTTGTTTTAAAGCTTTTACTTTTTGTTAAGAATACATAAATACATTACTGTCCATAGTCTAAACACAGGTGTACTTGAAAGCAGACTAGCTGATAATGTGTAGCAGATAGAGAGGATCATTTGAAATTTGTTCAAGAGCGTCACAATAAACAGAATGCTAAGGTAGAGTGCTGCATTTACAGAAGTACAGCTTATATCAACTTAATACAGCTTTTAAATATAGTGATGTGAGTATCTTACTGAAATACACATTGGAGGCACAGTTAGCATATGGTTTACGTGTCTTGAGAAATTGTTACAGACAGTATTGTACTCCAAAGCAATTTGTACTTTATAATACAATGCTGTCAATGTCAGTCTAGCTATACATAAAAACTGTACTATAGAGTGTGATTCAAAATACGGATGATTGCAATACTGTCATGAAAGAAGTAGCTCTTGATTTATACTTCCATTCTTTGTCAGAAGACTTTGTTACTTTTACTGTAACAAATATGCACAAATGGTATTTAAAAAAAGAGAAAAAACTACCCTTGTTTCAGAGGCACTGCTGAAGTAAAAACAGCTGAAATAGTAACCATTCATTTGTGATGCTTTGTTCCAATAATAAAGAATCCGGCTGAGCCAGATGATTTGCCTTCCTATTATCTCCCACCTATTACATATTATGCTATGAAAAGGAAGCTTTATACAAAACCCATAATACAACATACATAAATAATAAGCTGAGTGATTAATTGTCGTTATCTGCTTTTTATGCTTGTGTGCATTCTTTGTCAGAAAACATGTTGCTCCAGCCCAGCTTTCAGGTTGTATGGTTCCATTAACCTCTCTGAGACCTATGTTTATGCTTTCTTATATTCTGTATGGGTCAGGATTATAGCTGTTTGATATAATGCAATTAACTTTAACAGAAGACACTCTCATGTTTTCATCTGCTGCTGATTGCTAATCTCGTTACTACTTCCAAAGTTACTGGGGGTTTTTTTCAATATTTTTAAGACACACAAGCATTAACACTTGCTGTTCTCAAATAAGCAGAAGCAACAGAAGAACTGTGCTTTAATCAGCTTTGCTTGATACTCCCAAGCAGTACAGGTGTACAATGTGTGTCTACAATATACTCTTATGGGGATGTGGTGTCTAGACAAATTTTCAGTTCATTAAATGTAGTACTTTATTATGGCTTTGCTTGAATTTACATTGCCCATCAGAGGGGACCTTGCTTGTAAACATTTTCTATTCTCTTTGAGATGTCTGAACATGATGATAAGTTCCTTGTCTGTTCAGTAGTTTTATACTTAAAATATACAGCTTTTAGTCACAAGGTCTACTTCATTCATCTTGATGTATATGGCAGAATTTACCACAGTGGTGGGAATGGGGGTGTTACTGCTTATGTGTATCTGTCAGAAATTAAAGTGTAAATGTAGTCAGTTAAAGAATACCTAAATACTGTAATTCCTTGCACATCATTCTTTATGCTGCAAATGAAAGGGATTGCACTGATCTGCATAGCGTTGTGAGCAGGGGCGGACTAACCATTTGGAAACTCAGGCAATGCCCGAGGGCCCGGGGTCAGTAGGGGGCCCCATGAGATGCCCCTGGTACCTTTTTCATAGGCTTTTTTGAGTTTGGGCAAGGACACAGGGGCCCCATGATCCCCTATTGCCCGGGGGCCCCATGAGTTGTCAGTCCGCCCCTGGTTGTGAGTATAACAAATGGAAATTGCTAATTCGAGAAAAAAGCACAAATGTGACCCTATCAGTTAGTCTCTGCTTTTTTTTTACTATCCAATCAGATATATCGCTTTCACTGTTTTAAGTGAAGGGCTCACTAGTAGACTTTGCAAAAAACTTTTGTACAGAAATTCTTAATACATTCAATGACTTTTTGCTTGCTTTTAACGTCAAATTATGGAATGAATACACTTTCCTAAGCAAAAATCACAGATTGTTAGAAACTAGTTTAGTTGAGAAAAAAAATTGATCCTGCCCTTTCAAATGTTCTGGTCAGTGAGGTAAAAAACAAATGTAATTTTGATCACACTAACGTTTAGAAAATCGAATTAACATTCTTAAAACAGAATAATTCAAATTAAATTCTACTAGTGTATTGCCACCTTTGGGGTTGGCATAACAGTAAAACATTTGAAAGTTTTATTAACAAACCCTATAAAATGACCACAAATATTAATCCATGTACATATTTTACCACCATTAATATGGAATATACCAGAAGCAATGCACACTGTTCAGTATTGATAAGCCTAAATGTTGATACATTTCACAGCAAGCTCTGCTTCCCAAAACCAGGTTGAACTATTGCTATGGTTACTCAGATGTCCACATTCAAATCTATAACTGACACTTTACTGTGTGTCCAATCTAATTATTGATAGTGTGATCTCTGTAACTTACAGTTGTGATGAGATAGCGATAACTTCAACCTCAGTTGGGGTCCACAGTCAGTGACTCAATCAGAATGATATCTTGCAGATCTTGTGAAGTTTATTCCATAAACTGAGAGAATCTTTCAACAATAAACATTTGATAGGTCAAAAGAACATGCTGTTTCCTGCTCCATGCCATGAGGTTTACTGCAATGCATCTCTGGGAAGGGGGAGGGCTATCTATGTAACATTAGCTAAACTAAAGGAAAGGGAGGAGCAGAGACAAAACACTGAAAACATTTAAAGGCATATGACAGTCAATATGACAGTCATGTGAAACATGACAGACATGCATAGTAGAGTATATAGCATATATCATAACAATACATTTTTCAAAGTTCATTATTACAAATTTCACAAACAAATATAATTGACACTGTATGTAAATTGAATAAATGTACCAAAAAAACTCTCCCCAAGACCATAGATATAGGAAACACATCAGGAGAAAAGCTAGACAAATGAGCAATATGCCTTTAAAAGAAGCTAACAAATGAAAAGGAGCAAGGTACAAGACCACCATAATGAGCACTAAACAAAATCCCCTAACAAATTAAAACAACCAAAGTTCTCACCAGCAAGATGTGTTATGGGATTCCTGGG